GCGTGCGTGCGTGCGTGCGTGCGTGCGTGCGTGCGTGCGTGCGTGCGTGCGTGCGTGCGTGTGTGTGTGTGTGTGTATGTATGTGTGTGTGTGAAAGTGTGTGTCCCGCATAATATGACACATTTGTGGTATGATACGGAAACCGCATCATAATCAAGTTCCAAAATAATATATCGGCGCACCTTAAGAATGAAAACTTGTAGGTGTGGTGAAGACGCATCTAGTACTCGGAGGTGGGGAACGACTATGCGAGATTACATGAGCATGTTCAGTAACAAGAATTATAGACATTGTGCAGACGGAACCTATACTATAAGATGAGGAATGATTATGTTGGACTACACAACCATCCATGCTCCCACTGCTCTTTGCAGGTGAGCTCGAACACACACGATCAAACAGACACCACAAGACGGAGAAAGAAAGTACAATAAGGCAAAAGGAAATGAGGCAGTGGCAACAAATTGTAGAAAGGCACAAGGATTGGGGGGCTCGGGGGAGGTGGGAGGATAGACCATACCTAAATGCACAAAACAAGGAAAGACAAAAAAAAAGTGCAAGTACAAAAAAATACCCCAAGCATAAGACAACAGGCAACAACAACAAAAGACAATGGGTGGAGGGCACGGGGGAAGGGGAAAGGCAGACACCACTCAAACATACAAAGCAGGCAAAGCAAAAAGTATATATATACAAACCCCCCAAAACAGAGAAGACCGGAAAAAATAAAAAATTGATGGTGATAAGATTGTTTCGTCGGAGTTGCACTGACTCATCAGGAGGCTGCACCCTCGACAATCTGTGGAGTCTTCGTATTGGATGGTTCGGATCATGAACCCTTTGGCCCTTGTTGAAGGTAGATTGTTCCCCAAACAGAACACAATAGCGGACAACAACCTTGCGGAGCACTAGGCGACACAGTAGAAGCAACACGGTTGCACAACACTAAAAACGACTGGAAGGAACCACACGGTGTGCATGACAAGCAGTGCGGCAACCATGTAGTGAAGCAAGGCAACACCAACAAGGCAGTCACGGAGCAGGGGACAACAATGTTAGTAGTCGAGTAGCACAATAACCATGCAGTGGAGCACAAGGAAGCACCTATAATGCAAGTGAACTATAAGGCGCCCAAACAAAGGACATGGAAGACACAACCAGCGGATGAGCGGCAAGGCAGTGGAGCAGTGAAGTGCAAAGGCAACACCAACAACACGGCCACACAACACAACGAACACATCAACCTGCAAAAAACCACATGCGAAGCAAGTGGGACAGCAACAAGGTAGCGGCAGAGCGCAGACGAGGCAGTCCACAGATCCACCACGGAGAAAAGCATCATATGACCTACTCACATCACGATTAAAACCAACAAATTGTTGGTTCCCACCACCCATTGAGCCAGGGAGTCACTCCGACAAGCATCCGTCATTGCTCACAGGCAACACAGATATCCCGAACCGAGCCACCCTAAGAGTGCAGTAGGCACTCCAAACGAGGAACCACCGACTGTTTGGCACTACTTAAGGGTGCTCAATTGGGCACACAAAAAAAAAAAAAACTTAGAAAAAAATAAGAGGGAGAACAAACAACAAGAGGAAAACAGACAGACATAATTTATTTTTATTATTATTATTATTATTATTATTATTATTTTTATTTTTTTTTTGTGTAATTTGATATGAAACCCCCACGTGAACAGATGTAGCGAGCTGTGTAGAAAAAACACAGCAAGCAACATAGCAGTAAATAAACCGTCCACTTCATATGGCATGACCAAAACAAGCAAACAAAGAGAAGTTGAATGCCTTACTGTTGAAGCCAAACAAACAAGAATATGGGGAGTGGCCAGGGAGCAGCAAACAGGAGGTAATACACACTGAGGAGAGGTACGAGGCACATAAATAACAAGCGATAACAAAACACATAGACTGGAGGGCATGGGGAGGTGCGCGGGTACAAAAACACGATAGGACGAGGCAAAAACAATGAGCTGAGAAACAAGTAGTACCCACAAAAGACATAGACATAGGATTGAAGGCAAGGGCGAGGCGAGCAGGGAGATGGATAACACAAGTCGGCAAAAACAACAACAGTGAATAAAAAGACAAAAACTGAAAAAAATAAAAGCTAATGATATCAAGATTGTTTCGTCGGAGTTGCACCAACTCATCAGGAGGCTGAACCCTTGACAATATGCGAAATCTATGTACTTGATGGTTTGGGTCATGAACCCTTTGACCCTTGTTGAAGGCAGACTGTCCCCAAGCGGAACATAGAAGTAAGTAACAACCCTGTGGAGCACCAGGCAACACAGTGGAGGCAGCACGGCTGCACAACGCCAAAAATGACTGAACATGGTACGCAGGACATGTAGCGACAACTGTGTAGTGAAGCATAAGACAATAAAAACAAGGCAATAAGGCAACCACACTGCAAGGGACGACAGGGTGAGCAGACCAGCAACTCGACAACGGTAGAGCGAAGCACAAGGCATCAACAACAAGACAACCATCCAACAAGGCCCGCAAGCAGCAAACACGGAAGGCACTACCAGTAGAAGGGCAACAAGGTAGCGGAGCAATGAAGCGCAAGGCAACACCAACAACACGACCACACCACACAACGAACACATCAACTTGCAAAGAACCACGCGTGAAGCAGACGGGACAGGCAACAGGGCAACGACAGAGTGTAGACGAGGACATCCAACATCATGATGGAGCAAAGTGGCACATGACCTGCTCACATCACTATTGAACCCCGTAGACTGTTGGTTCCTACCACCCACTGAGCCAGGGAGACACTTTAACGAGCATCCGTCATCAGTCATAGGGAACACATACATCCCGAACTGAGCGGCCCCCCTAAGTGTGCAGTAGGCATTCCAAACGAGGAACCACCGACTGTTTGGCACTAAAGGATGCTCAGTTGGGCACATAAAAAAATACTTAGAAAAAATAAGAGGGAGGACGGACAACAGGAAAAAAACTGACAGACATAAAACTGATTTTGTGTGTGTGTGTGTGTGTGTGTGTGTGTGTGTGTGTGTGTGTGTGTGTGTGTGTGTGTGTGTGTGTG